CTCTTCTTAGCATTCCTTTCTCTTGCTGTCTATCTTTTTGCTTTGGTTCTCTTGTTTCATAGACATAAAAAAAAAAAAGATAAAAAACTAGGCTACCCTAAATATAAACAGTGTAACAATGTGTTTATACTGTACAACCCCCGGATCTTTCACAGCCGCACACAAACAGAATTACAGTATACATTTTATCATGACTCATCCATGTCCGTGTGTGCCACTGTGGTTTTTAATCTTGTGATTTCCAGTGATTTTCCACAAGCAGGTTTTGGTTATGTATTTGATTTTTGCCTGAGTGTGTTTTGCTTTGCCTGGGGCAAAAACCCATGCAAGTACTTTCTCAAGAAAAGCATCCATCCCACTTCCTACTGTTTACCTGATGATTGTTGCGATATTATTAAGATAAAATAACTGCCACCATGCCAAGTCTCTCAGTACCCTAGAAATTATGTTAATATATTACAAAATTGTTTTCTCAGTCATATTGTAGAGGCAAACATAATCGCTGTCTGGATTATGTCCACAAGCATTGTTTTTTTGAGTGAATTAAAATCTTCATGTGCTAATATTGTATTGTATTATTTAAATAATATCATGTTTTAGTTTTTCAGAAATACTGATACAATAAACCTATAAAAATATTCAATTGAGTTGCAGAAACTTGTTGGAGGCTAGCAAGGACAGAGGGCAGGACTACTGTTAGCGTAGAAATTATACATAGCCTGGTGGAAACTATGTGCCTTAGAGTCCTCCTTCTTTCCTTGTTCTTCTGTCTATCTTGAGTAATTCTTTTGTTTCTCCTTCTCTCTCCATATTTCCTGCTAGACCTCTGTACACTCTCAACACCCTCCTCCCACGTCCTCCTTCTCTCCCAGTCTAACCACTACTCCCAAGATAAATCTAAACCACAATGAAAACACACGCAGCCTTCAGCTGTTTAACCCATCATTGCAAGGAATGAGACAGAGAGGAGCCCAGGGGAGCAATGGAGAGATGGAGAGAGGAAAAAAAACAATGTTTTATTTAAAGAAAACCGAAAAAGCTACATGGCTGGCTTTCAACAGACACTATCGAGCCAAAAGCAGTGTGAGACAATGTTAAAGCCAGTAAACTTGTGATATGAATGTTGTAGCTATTAAAAGTTTGATTTGATTGAACTTTTTGTATGTCAAACAGTCCTTCATTGACTGATCAAGAGTTTTAAATAACTGAGATAAGTACTTTAAGTAAAAAGTCCAAATGAAAGCTGTCCAGATCGATACTTGTATGCTGGTGTTAGGATTTCTATCTGTGTCAGATTTGACCCTTTAGGTTGTTTTTGTTCCATTGATTGAACTGCTTGTGTGCAGGATTGATCCTGTACAAATCAATTTGACTGATCCCTGACTTTGATGTTGTGTGGTTTAATGAAAAGACTGAATAAGTCAGAATAATATCCCACTGATGTCAGTTTTGGACAGATCTATTACCCTTCACCAGTCCAGAGAAAGTTAAGTGTACAGGCAGCTGTTTATATCCACCTCAATGGGTTGGCTGTATGGATGGCAATGTCAGTCCATTACTGTTTGTCCAACACTTTTGTCCTGAGTGTTATATCTTCATTTCCACTTGTTCAGCACTTCAGGATCTCATACTAATGTCAACCTCAGATGCCCTGGAAGCTGGATTACTGCTTACATAGCATGACAAGTTAAACATTAGCATGAACAGAAAGTGAAAGGCCCAATGAGTTTTTGCCCCAGGGCTGGGGAAACCCTAGACAGTACCAGTCTATTACTGGCATTAAGGCATTGACAATAACATTCTATCTTTTGTGTGTCAAACCACACTTGGCTCAAATTCTTGACATCCAGGACCATGCTGCTGTAATTCCTATTTGTTTCTGTAGAAGTCAGTAAAGGTAATAAGCTAATTGATAATGAAAATAAGATTCCCAACTAATTCAGCGGTGTCTTCTACTTCTGCCACTTTCTCACTTGCCTTTGGTCTTTGTAAAGAAAAACAGCTGTTTCCCTTCACATATTGGAAAATGATGATAAACGCAGTTCATCTTAGCCTGCATCCATGGCATGTACTCAGTTGTTCCATAACTGTGAAAAATTGGTTTGTAAATCCTATTGTGCGCGAGGACACTGCTTAAACTACTGCAAGGCTAGTGTTCACGGTTCAGTGAGTGCAGTAAAGATGTTTTAATCTAGGAGCCCTGAGGATGGCAAGTAAAGTACTGGATGGAGATTAAGTGGATTTCATGTTGCTGTGGACAAAGTTATTACCACACATGCTCACACACCCACACAAGCAGTAGATATAGCTACAGTATTATTGCAAAGATTGAACAGAATCTGTTTTGTGGTTTGACCTTGTTTATGAAGACACATGTGATGTGTTAACCTCTAAGATTAAGTTTCTGAACGTACAAGGTTGCCAGATAAACAAACCTAAATTATTCGTGGGAACATTAATTTATTCAAACAGATTATTAAAATGTCAGATTTGAATTTCCCCTGAAGCACTTAACTGTGTTTGTGTACTTTGGTCAGCAGTAAAGAGTAAGATAGCTGTTCAGTTGTGTAATATAAAATGTGAATCAGAGAATGAGACCTACATAGTCGACATTTTGAGGTCAGAAAGGCTGTTTGGAATTGCTAAATACTAAAAACCATCTTAGGGAGTTTTCAGACTTGGCCTAAATACTTGAATCTCGACCCAGGATCACTTCTTTGGAAGAGGGGGTCATTATGAGAGGTTGGTTCTCACTGTGCATTTGAAGCTACCATCTAGTCGTGAAATGAATACCCTGAATTGAATCCAGAATTTTTGCATAGACATGAGGTTCCATTTTCTGGACCTCGCCCAGACTCAACACGGTGCCAGCTAGAAAACTCGAAGTTGAAACTAATCAGCTGAAGTGGAGAGGTGAGGTTTTAAATGTACCTTGTAGTTTTTGACATCTAGTTATGGAGCAGTTTTTTGTCTTGTGCCCACTCGAGAGGCAACGTCTAGCCAACATTTTCACGCTATTAAACTAATCTACATGTGGCATGATGTGAAAATGCAGCACATCAGTGAAAGCAATAAAGAAGACTGTGAAAACATGGATGTAAACAATTAGCTAAAGTTTCAGAATGTTTTATGAAGAACAAAATGCATTCAACACATTTGTTAGACTTCAAGGATACACAAAATGCATTTTGGTGAGTAATGCTGAATGTGAATATACATTTTGTTGGTTTACAAGAAAGGGGTCTACAGTGCACTTTCAAATCCAAGCAGCACACAACATTCAAGCTACTGCAAGGTGCAGCGTCGTCGCTTTCTTCAATGGAAAATAATGTTTCTGGTTTTTGCCATTATTTCATGTGTCCTTCTGTTTGCCTCTGCTTCTCTCGTTTAGTTCATGTTTACGGTCATTCCCGTTCTGTGCACTTCTGTATCATTTTGTCCATGTTTGTGCGGTGTTCTGTTTAGTCATAGTTCAGTCTGTTTTCCCTGTTAGTTGTAGTTTATTGGTATATTTGTGATCTGTCTGCTTGTGTTCTGGATCAGTTATTTATATTCTGTTTCTTCCTGGTTATTAGTTTCCTCATGGCGTTATTGGTGTCTCTCTGTTTTCCCTGCTGTCTCTCTGTGTCTCGTTAGCTTCATGTCTTTCACCTGTGTTGCTCCCGCCATAGTGATTATCCCTGGTATATATGTGTGGTCTTTCTGTTCAGCCCTTGCCTTCATTGTTCATGTTACCCCCTGTCAGTCGTGGCTTCAGTCTCCCAGTCTTGTCTTGCAATTTTCCTGCCCTTGGTGTTTTGGATTACCTGTGATGGATTTCTGTTTCGTTTCTCATTTGGCTTTTTCTGGACTCAGCCACTCGGTATGTATGGCTACAAGATGCATTTGCTGATGCAGGAATTATGGTGGCCCAGTGGCCTAATGGAAAAGCCATCACCGTCCAGAGAATGGGATTGTGGCATAGTATTCTGTAAATGTGAAGTGCAAAACCCATTGGGATGTGTTAATTGATCATGGTTGAAGTGAGACTTATAACATATCCAAGCTCCAACCAGTGAGTCACTTCATGTCTATTAATTTCCCACACAGCTGTGTGACCAGAGAAACATCTGGGTCTCTAACCCGGAAAAGCCAACCTTCAGCTTCAGCCAAAAAACGCTCTAGATTTCTAAAAATGTATTACCCATGTGGATGATATTCTTTCAATGTCATGTGTTCCTTCATACCTAATGTAAATATTGTGTCTAATACGATTTGAGGAAACACAAAGCATACATTATGCTGTTCTGTTTAGCTGGAATAAAATCATCTCCATCTGTCCTCCAAACTGTCTGCATAGGCAAAACACAACATAATAAGAGCAGCGAGATGGCCGATGTCCATAATTTAATCAACATCCCACGCCAAGTCTGCCAGCCTTTTCCTTTTGGCTCTTTCTTGTGCCTGATTTTGGCAAACGCTCCTTTACTTTGGTCCACACTCATTTTTAAGCTGATAAATATACAGATCAATTGTCTGGTTGATCTACAGTATTATGCATAGATTGCTGAATTGTTTGACGACACGATTGATTAACTGACTGAAGAGTGAGAGGTTAAGGGAGATGCTTGCCCCCACCTTAACTCAATCATATATACAGTACATCTTCTGTCTGGCACTCCTCCGCACTGTTGTCGATCAGTGACCTGCAAACCCTCAACTCCTCCGAGGATGAGTGGGAAACAGCTCATTATGCAGGAAAACAAACAGAGACACTGCACCGTTTTCATTCACCGCCCAGCAAAATAACATTTATGAGCTTACATACTGTAGTTGATGGTGCCACATTTAAAGCAAAGAATCGTATTTTTGTGGGTAAACAGAGAGTAGAACATTGAACCTTTCAAGGGGATATGCATGTGATGTTGTCTGGGAAATAGAAGGGGTTATACATGCTGCAACTTTAGCTCAGTGGCCCAGTTTAAAGGACTAAAAGAAAGCACCAACAACTGACACTGTCATCATAGGTGGTCAGCATAGGTGAATGCCACATAAAACAGTTTTATTCTTTGTTTATCTCAGTGGACTGGATAACATTTACTTGACATGGGGACATGGGACAATTTTGTGGCATTTTGAATTTCTGACTGTCTGGCAGAATATTTATGGATGCATTTCATCACTCTATTTTGTATATTTTATGGCTCAGAGGCCTAATGGATAAGGCATTGTGGGTTGAAGTCCGACCTGGGTCAAGCATGAAGTAAATTTTATGTGACACGCATTAATAATTCAGAAAATGCACAATTTGTTAATGTAACTACCCTGAACAATAATTTTTATCTTCCCGTCCGTTAATGAACACTATCTATGCTAAAGGCGACCAAAGGGAAGAGCATGAAATTAGACCCAGAAATCCTGTAATGTGATATAATTTACAAATAAGACTGCACAAATTACATTGAATAAATCCTGTAAATGTTTAAGAAATGTACCTGCTGTTTTATAATCGAAATGTCAAAATCTCATAAATGAAAATGGTGAAGGTCATTTTTAAGCATTGAACATATAGTACTGTATAGGACACATAATGGATGGTTTCTGTGGCCCCCAAAGGCCAGTCTGAGCACTGTTGTTATGCCTCAGAGCAGTACTGTCATTATGGTTTACAGCCTAATAAAATACCAATTGCACCGAAAATGGGAATTTCCAAATATTGAAACATCCCCTAAGGATTAGGGCTCATTTCCAGTTTAAAAAAGATGAGTGAGAGAGAAATAATGAGATACAGAGGGAAATTGGGAAGCAAGACAGATGGCGCCAGAGTAATGATAGATAGACCAATAGATAGATATATGTCCAACCTTGCTTGTCTGTCATTCAGCAGAATCAAAATCAGTTTCCGAGGACAAATGCTCTCCTTTCCAGTTTTGTTTACAAATCACAATGACTCAAAAGCATTCAGCCACAAGGAGGGATGCCAAGCTCTGGCACCTCACAATCCCCTAAAATCAACTGAAAAGAAAAAAATGCCTCTCCTTGGATACAGTGATTCATAAACCTTGAAAATGACATTCTCAAAAGCAGCTTGTTAAAGAAAACATTAAACTTACACCTGCAAACATGAAATCAGTTGCCAAGGATTCAGTTTTGCATTAGCTGCAGTTGAACATATTTCCACAAGGAGGAGTTGTCAGTCAGTGTCGGTTGGTTGGTCATTCACCTCTATAATCCAGTTCGCTCAACAACTTTTAAATGGACTGCTGTGAAATTTTGCGAAGACATTCATTCATGATAAATTGTAATAATGTTAGTGAATTTCTGACCTTTCATTTAGCGTCACCATCAGATACAAATTTCAATTTGTCCAACTCATGACATTCCCAAAAGCCTCAGTTGTACTTTGTGTTTAGTGCTAATTTGCAAATGTTAACATGCTAAACTTGAATGGTAAACATAACTGCTAAACCTCGGCATGCTAACATTTTGTCATTTTGAACATGTTGGCACGCTGATGTTAGCAGCTAGACAGCCACTAGCATGACTGTAGACTTGTACTGTTGTATAACATGCAAACAAACACAGCAGCCTAAATTGCAATTGATATTTCAAAACATAAGGGTGTTTAATTATGGAAAAATTGATTTAAGATTTCAATATATTTAAAATCTAGATGAGTCTGTATAGTAAATGATCAAACACGGGATTACAGTCACCTCAAATTGCTTTCATAGTTCTCTATCATTATATTTCATACACATTTCAAACCTGAGCTTTTCTTAATCACTTCTTAAAAAATCATTAGGCTATTCTATTTAAGTTCTATTACCATTCTCCTGACATTTTGCTTTCATGTTTCCTTCTACTGCACGCTCGATAAACACTTTATCAAATCAGTTCTAAAAGGCACCACATAAATAAGGTTGATTATTATTAGCTTTATTATATAATGGAATGAAATCACACTTTACCAGCTGGTTGTTTGGCTGAGAAGCAAGCTCAAATCATCTTCCAGCGCTTCTTATCCTCATGTGGATAACATTTTCATTTGCATCCAGTTTTGGGTTATGAGGATATTGACATAAAAAATGATTAAGATGCCCAATGTTTCAGGGGTTGCTGATAACCTGCTTGATCCAGTCAGTGAGCCTTGTGATGCGGGTATACACACCATAGTAGTCTGGACGCCCGCAGCCTTTGCCCCAGCTCACCACCCCGGCCAGGAACCAGCGACCCGTTGGCTCCTGGCAAACCAAGGGACCACCAGAGTCTCCCTGACAGAGACAGATGTTAATAGTTCAGGGGGTAAGGTCTTCATGTCGCTACAGCACAGAATGACCATAATTGACATGGCTGTGGATCAATACCAGTGACTCAACTATAATACTCTGTGCTTGGATATTTGGCTTTTAAAACTATATTCTGTTTATGGGGAACACTCAGTGAACTGTGAGGACTTTCAGGATGCACCTAACATATGTGTATGTATTTACATTGAGATACAATAGTTAGCAGGGTATGTCTTCCATTATATTTTTATTGTTTGGTTTGAATCCATTACACTTTTGTTCCTTCTGGCAGATGTTCATCCAGTCAGAAAGAGAGACTACATGTCTGGACGATTCAAACCACATCATACAGTACATACTGAAATTTAATTCAACTGTATTACAGTGGGGAGAACAAGTATTTGATACACTGCTGATTTTGCAGGTTTTCCTACTTACAAAGCATGTAGAGGTGTGTCATTTTTATCAAAAATCCAGAAAAATCACATTGTATGATTTTTAAATAATTTGCATTTTTGATACATCAGAAAAGCAGAACTTAATATTTGGTACAGAAACCTTTGTTTGCAATTACAGCGATTATATGTTTCCTGTAGTTCTTGACCAGGTTTACACACACTGCAGCAGGGATTTTGGCCCACTCCTCCATACAGACCTTCTCCTTTCGGGGCTGTCGCTGAGCAATACGGACTTTCAGCTCCCTCCAAAGATTTTCTATTGGGTTCAGGTCTGGAGACTGGCTAGGCCACTCCAGGACCTTGAGATGCTTCTTACGGAGCCACTCCTTAGTTGCCCTGCCTGTGTGTTTCGGGTCGTTGTCATGCTGGAAGACCCAGCCACAACCCATCTTCAATGCTCTTACTGAGGGAAGGAGGTTGTTGCCAAGATCTCGCGATACATGGCCCCATCCATCCTCCCCTCAATACCGTGCAGTTGTCCTGTCCCCTTTGCAGAAAAGCATCCCCAAAGAATGATGTTTCCACCTCCATGCTTCATGGTTGGGATGATGTTCTTGGGGTTGTACTCATCCTTCTTCTTCCTCCAAACATGGCGAGTGGAGTTTAGACCATAAAGCTCTATGTTTTGGTGGTGTCTTTTATACAGGTAACGAGTTCAAACAGGTGCAGTTAATACAGGTAATGAGTGGAGAACAGGAGGGCTTCTTAAAGGAGAAATAACAGATCTGTCAGAGCCGGAATTTTTACTGGTTGGTAGGTGATCAAATATTTCTGTCATGCAATAAAATGCAAATTAATTATTTAAAAATCATACAATGTGATTTTCTGGATTTTTGTTTTAGATTCCGTCTCTCTCAGTTGAAGTGTACCTATGATAGAAATTACAGACATCTACATGCTTTGTAAGTAGGAAAACCTGCAAAATCAGCAGTGTATCAAATACTTGTTCTACCCACTGTATATCAACTGTAAAATATTATAGGGACCTTACTGGGTATCAGATAACTATCTAGTGACAAACCTAAGACTCTAAACATGGGCTTTGCCACCTGGTGGCAGCGCAACTCAAGCTTTAAACAACATTGACACCTTATGGTTATTGTGGTGCCCGTCAGCAAACAGTGGCTTTTTTGTACACAAAATTGTGTTTCTGTCCACCTAACAAACAGAAGTCCAGTATTCACTCTGCTTTTATCTCTATGTTGCTCCTGACGGAAATATCTGGCTCTTAGCTGCTATATACTCCATAATGTTCACAAGCTAGTCTCTAACCTTGTCTGTCTGCTGTTTGGTGCTGGTCAAGTAACATGCAGTGGGTTTTTAGAGCATTTTCACTGAAAACAACTGCTTGCTGAGAGTGCTGACAGTGAACCAAAACAGTAAAAGTACAGGCCGTAAAACCCAAATAGTTTAAAGATGCTAAAAAACTTGCTGAGGGGACCTGCGAAGTCAGGTGATAATTCTGCAGGTTCGTCACTGTGGATTGTGTCACCTTTCATTTAACGTAGTAATTGAATCTATTGTTGATATGGCTTTTAATTTCAAACTGGATTGTGAAACAAAATTAAAATAAAGAACATTAGGCTATATCTTTACCTGACAGGCATCTTTGTTTCCACTGCGGTAACCGGCACAAAGCATTCTGGGAGTGACCAGGTGGCCATAGGAGCGAACACAGGCTTCCTCGCTGACCAGGCGAACATCCACCTTGCGCAGCACATTACTGACACTGCCTGAAGAGGGATGAGGGGAAGAAAATTAACTAGTGAAGGCCAAAAGATTCATCGTCTTTTCATTATTTTATATTTACATATATATACATAAATCTTCATTGCTCAGTTTTGATTTCAGTACTGGATGTCAATTCTAGAGCTGCAGATCACCAAACCAAAAATTTATGTCTAACACACTATAACAACCAGCCTGGAAATATTCTACTAGCAGAATACGGAACATGTTTCATCCTTTCAGTGAAAAGAAACCACCTAATTTGAAATATAGTGGTGTAACTACACTTTAATATACTGACATCTACCGTGTACATCTTATGATTTTTTTATGAAACAGTGGGTGTCGGAAGATAGTTTCCAACACCTTCTCCCTCAAACAGCCTTCAAACAGGTTCATAATTCATCAGAAACCACAACCCACACACTTTATCTCTTCCTGCCTCTTTAATTTAAATAAGTTAATTTTGATCTGTTACCATAAATACCATGCCCGTTTTCCACCATCCCCATAAAGACTCCCCCATACCTTGCTTGATAAAATGGGGTTACTTGCACCCTGCACAAGTCAAATAAAATCACTTCCTGTGAAAACACTGCATCATACTGCATGATACATAAGCCAGTGTAATCCTGTAACAGAAATAAAATAACTTTATAACAAAACAAATACTGCACTTGGACATCAGCCTTCAAGTCAAAAGCATTAAATAAAAGTCCATCTTCAAAATGGTTCATGTATATGAAACTGCATAGTTAAATTTAAGGGTCCTTTTTGTGAGATATGAAGATTTCCTTCTCTAGGTCATGCATACCGAAGCCTGAGGCTAAATGGAAATTACAATAGGATGAATAAAAAGCATTTTTCTTTATCTGTAGTTCTGAGAAAAACATTGAATGGATGCAAGTTTTGCAACATTGCAAGTCCTTGCAAATAGTTAGCTGATTTGTTGAATTCATTACTGTGATCACAAACTGGAGTGACTGTCTTATTGCGCAATTAATCTAAGCAGCGGTTCCTAACTTGGGAGCTGCAGTCTGTTCAAGGCACAAGTAGATAAACTTGAGGGGCTAGAAGATGACTAATTGGATAGGAAAGGCTAGGCTGGATAGGCTGGACCATCTATGGTTAATGTGCTATAGTGTGGCTGAAACTTTAAGTGCTCATGTGGTTGAATAAACACTACATTGGGTTACACATTGACACCAACCCCCGTCACACATCGATTGTCACACCCTTGTAACATGGGTCTATATTGTGGCCATGCTCTCCTAAAAATGACTGGAAGACAAAGTAGCAGCACTGTGCTCATAAGCTTATATTGCATGTTTGACTTCCAACAATAAAATAAATCCTCCTAACTAATATTTCGTCCTTGCTTCCAAAGAAGAAGCAGGCAGTGAAAGTGGAGGTACCTGGCCTCATGCTGTTGGAGGACTGGCTAAATGGATCTGTGAAACTATCAATGGTAACTCAATTCAATGTTAATTATGCTAGCAAACTTTCAAGTTATCAAAGAGACATCTAATGTATCAATTTATGAGGTATATGTTATGGATGTTTAACTTCTCAACTCAAATGGTTCACAGTGATCATTACATTTAAAATACGAAACAGAGAGTTCACAGGCATTGTTAGCTAAGTAACATATGGGTAGGTCCTTTTCGTTTCATAAACCGAATCCATCCATCCATCTATGGTCAACTGCTTATCCTGCGTACAGGGTTGCGGGGTTGCTGGAGCCAATCCCAGCTGACATCGGGCAAAAGGTGGGTTCCATCGTAGGGCCACATGTAGACAAACAACAATTCACACCTAAGGACAATTTTAGAGACACCAATTAACTTAACCTGCATGTCTTTGGATGGTGGGAGGAAGCCAGAGCACACAGAGAGAACATGCAAACTCCACACAGAAAGGCCAGGTTTTGAACCCACGACCTTCTTGCTGTGAGGTGACAGTGATAACCACCTCACCACCTCAACAACAAATGGTGTTGTTTATTGTTTAACCCATCCGGCTTCCTCCCACCATCCAAAGACATACAGGCTAGGTTAATTGGCGACCCTAAATTGTCCTTAGGTGTGAGTGTGAGCGTGAGTGGTTGTTCGTCTATGTGTGGCCCTGCGATGGACTGGCGACCTGTCCAGGGTGTACCCCGCCCGGTGTCAGCTGGGATTGGCTCCAGCCCCCCCCGCGACCCTGTATGCAGGATAAGGGGGTTGACGATGGATGGATGGACCCACTATCTGTACTAAGGAAATATATAGAATAATACGAGTAAAATAGGCTTTAAAGCATTGTGCAATTTGATCCACAAAAATGCTACTTTATTAAGTGAGAATATTTTGAATATTCCAAAAAGTGGGAACCACTCTCATAGACCACATAGAAAGTAAAAGTGATTCTTGCTGTAATACTAAATTCCATTGTCTCCTTTCAAGATCAACATTTCACCCTCTATCCTCTCTCCACATCCCCCTCAAGCCCTTCCCTCTTTCTTTCCTCACCCCCCTCACGGAGAGCGCCCCAGCCGGTGACCCAGCAAAGTAGGTCCGGCTCCAGTAGGTGGGTGGGCGGAGGCAGGCAGGCGGGTCGAGCATGTCCATCCAGCAGCATGGAGGCGGGCCGGTCCAGCTTCAGGAGGGCCAAGTCATAGTCGTGGGAATCGTCGTCGTAGTATTGATGAAGGTGGATCCGCTGAACTCGTGCCACTTCTTCAGTAGGGCTGTTACGGTTGAGCAGGAGTTTACCCAGGTAGACCGTCCACGCCGACGGTGAGTAGAGACTGGAGGAGGATGTGGAGAAAAAAAAGTTGCTATGTGTTACTAGGGCAATAAGTTAGATTTTCTTTTTTATATGATCTGATTTGTATGCAATTACAGCTGTTGACTTCAAATAAACATACTTTCTATTTTAGAGCAAAACTTTCCCCGTCCACTGAAATTTCAACACTCACTAAATGCTACACAAACTTATTCACCATGCAAGGACCCTTAAGAAAGAATTGTTAATCCTCTGCAGGTTGTTGCAGCTACAATTTCAGTCACAGCATCCAGTTGATTCTGGCTTTCAATGCCAAAAGCATATATGAATACATAAATACACCACCTTTGAGTCAAACTGGCTGTTACAGCTAAACGCCGCACAGCAAACACATAGGAGCAGTACTGAATATAGAAGCAGCTTGGAGGCCAATTTATTAATAAGTGCTAAAATGCTAAACTTCAGCTGAAGAGAAAAAGCCCCTCAAACTGTCTTTGTTTTGAAAGAAAATTTTAACACCTCAGTCAACACACCACTTCCTTCCCTCTCTTCCTGCACTTACCTGTCGTCATAGAAACAGTGGGCGGCGGACACCACCCATTGGCTGGAGATTAGTGCGCCCCCGCAGATGTGGGTACCCCGCACCTGCAGGCTGGCCTGCCATGGCCATTCCCCCTCCGTGGCATTGGTTCCCCCCACAATTCGGCTGGAGAACTGCCTCAGGCCACAGTCTGAATAGACACACAGAATATTGAAACTCAAAGTTGCAAATGTCGACAGCAAATATACGCTTAATATATGAACTGTAAATTAAGTTAGCATAGTTGAATAGAAGAAAATCTGAAAATTGCAGAAAAGGAAAACCTAAATCACTGAGAGAGTTACTATTAAACAGTTAAAAAAAACTATAGCAGGTGTACTAAGGTGTATTCTTATTATTTTGCTTTTTTGTGTGTCTAATTCCTCCTGGTACCAATGAGGAAAAAAAGAAAAACAAAAAAAAAAAGAACAAAGACCAATCAAATCAGACTTTATTGATTCATTTAATTTTTATTAAAAAGCAGAATGACATTGAGCTTAAGAAAATCTTGAGAAACCTTTCCAAGAGAACATGAAGATACAGACTAAACGGAATTTAATGAAATAAAAAACATGACTTCTACTGTATGTAGGTGTGTTTATCTTCTTACCACACTGTTTCTCATCTGAGGCGTCGGGGCAGTCTGTGACAAAGTCGCATTCTGGGTTTGGCTTCTTCAGACATGTTCCATCAGCACACACATAGGTCATATCTGTACACTGCACACCTGGACACACACACAGGGTGCAAATTACACAATGACAAATGGGGGGGTGCAACTTTTTTTCCAGGTCATATAGGAAATCCATTACAGCGCAGGCTCGTGCTTCAGTGAACTAAAACTTTACAAAGCTTACAATGTCCTTGCTTGGTAAAATAATGTCTGCAGTCTGTAGATGATAATAAATCAAATGTATTACACACACAATAACTTTCGTAGTCAGAGGTCACCAAGTATTCTAGAGCAAAACTGCCAGCAAGTCAGACCAACATTTCCGCTCAAACACAGACCCACACAATGCTGAACCTATAATAAATTACAGTCTGCGTTATCATCTCTGATTCCTATTTCTTATCTTTTCAAGTTTTATGTTTCAACTTAGTCTTCTTTTTTTTTTAAATATATCCTTTCCTCTTGTTCATGTTGACTGTGACAGAAATGTAATCTGGGTTCAACAAAGCTGTAGTCATACATTGTTGGGGAATTGGAAATTGTTGGGTAAATAATATTTCACAGAGTACAGTCTGGACATACTCTATATGAAAAGTGCAATAAAATGACTTTTGTTATGAATTGGCGCTCTATAAATAAGAGACTGAATACATTTGAAATAACAAACCTGGATTTTAAGATTTACCAAGCCAGGTAAAACTCCTGAATTCCAGAGTGAAAACAAATGACGGCTTATTGTAAAACAATTCACAAAAGACTTAATAATAATAAATAAAATAATAATTCTATATTGATGTCAAAATGTATCTCTATGAAAACTTAACCCTTAATTTCACTGCTCATGCCTAAGCACCAGTGTTAAGTAACAATTAGATAAAATATGACATTTTATAATGGCAATGAAATCAGCTGAGCTAGCTAACAACAGATGGCTAATTTTAAGTTAACTAATTATGAAACTCTGAAGTGTATTAAAGAAGCTAGACTAACTACTGACATTAGACTACAGTCTCAGGGACACAGTGGTGGATGGTTAAAGTGGGAATTGAACACGGGTCTCTCATACCAAAGGCATGAGTCTTATCCATTGCGCCATCATCCACTGGGTCAGTCCCCACCCCAATGATCTGAGTATACTGTACACAGCGAGATTTATTATTGAGAATAACAGGTACACGTTTTCTGAGCCAGAAATCTGATTGTCCAGGTAAAATAATGACACAAACAAAGTGTGAAAATTAAAATGAATAGATTTTGTAAAAGCCTGTCTGATGTGTTTGTGATGGTGTGCATTTAATATTTGATTATATTTGAGTGTGTTACCATCAGTACAGTTCATCTCGTCCGTTGCTTCAGGGCAGTCTGGGTGTTGGTCGCACACCTTGTAGTAGTCCACACACTGACTGTCCTCTGGACACTGGAACTGTGCTGCACACACTGAAACCCACACACACAAAAGGAAATGCACCAGTTTGCATACTCAATAACAGTCATATGAGCTAAGGTGACAAGATCTTATTTAAAAACAAAGAAATTAATAACTTCAGTATTATGGAGCAGGTATTCTGATGTGCTTTTCACTTCCAGTTTAAAATTTAATTTTCTGTTTTCATTTAAGGTTTCATATTTTGAGGCTTGAATGTTTGGGGTAGATAAATGGATAACCAGATACAGTGCATGTTGACACATCTGATTATCTTCTGTATTTCATTAATGGGTAATCCATGACCTACAAGTAGTCACACCCAAACCAATGATAGCATTGTAACTTGACAAGCTGCCAAATCTCAGGTTTACACATTGTGAGCTACTGTCTGGGATCTACATGGATTGAGAAGAAGAGGCCCATCAGATCAGCATCACCTCCAGCTTTCGTGGGCAGCATGCTGACAAGACTCATTTTACAGATGATTGAACAATCCTGTCATTAGCAGTGCCGGTGGATGTTTGGTTTAACCCAGGCAATCCTGTGGTCTTTTCCTAAGGAGGTTTGTTGCATCCCAGTGGTTACAATTCATTCATTTGACAACATTTGAAAAATATGTGACAAGTTGATACAAGACAATTATTTTAGAGCATTAACATCTTTAACATCTAAATGCATTAGGCTCCTCTGGCTTTGTGAGGTGGTCCGGCCCATTCACTTTTTTAAGTTCCTCCTCTATTATGAGTAAACTTCCTTTGTCAACAGAAAATAATGTACAACAAATTATATATTTAAAACCTAAGTAAATACCACAGTTCCTCTCGTCAAGCCCGTTGGGACAGTCCTTGATTCCATCACAGGCAGGAACACACAGGCCATTAACAGTGCACAGAAACTGGCCTGGGCAGGCTATAAAACAAATGCACACACACAACAAACAGAATAGAAATATTACTTAGCAGTTAATTTATCCATGTTTCTTGGCTGTCACTTCTGCAGTCCCAACTTACGATCGGATAGGTTGAAGACTCTGTAGAACAGCTGAAGGCCCGGCCCTGTGAGTGACACTTCTGATGTCATGACAACAGTGGCCATTGTGGACATCAGGAGGAGGCGTTCGTTGTATGGCTGCAGGCCCCTGGTACCACAAAATCTGAGAAGAGGACAGAGACACTGAATTCAATGAAAACACTGTTGTTATGGAATGCCCTTACGCAATGTACTTGACTCTCAGTTTGTCCAAGGCACTAATGACAAACCTATCCTAAACCTACCTACCAAACCTATGGCTAAAATACTGGTTAGAAGTGTAAAATACCTCTTTTTATATTTAATTAAAAATAGCCTGAAAAGTTTGTATGGACATTTAACAGCGGCTCATAAGGGATGCTACTGCCCCCTGTTGTTCAGTTAAGAATAGAATAGTGTGATGATATGAATGTAACATTTATAACTATGTTGTTGTGTTTTCTTTAAATTTATTACAATACCAAATGAAAAGTTGGACGCATGACCTGTATGGAAAACTTTAATATGCACAGAAGCTTCCTGTCAGACACTCAAACGCATGTAAGTTGAGAAACTGAAATGAGAGAATTTGGACATTTTTTCTTAAAAAATTAATAAAATATTTGCCAATTACTTTAAAAAGCTGAAAACAAATCGACTAATTGTGGCAGCTCTAGTATAAAGTGAAAACGGGATTATACCTTTTTTGTTTAGGAATTTGCAAATACATATTTATAGCTGATCAGACACTCATCACCACGACCATATTCGACAGAGAAAGTTGTGACTAAAATCGACTTCTCATTTGCTTTGATTTTTTTTTCTAATTGCCTATTAGATTTCACTCTCAGTGAGGTTTGGACTGCTGCTTATAAAATCTTGTTGGGCTCTACAGTGCATACTGTAGGTTATCTAACCATTGAGGCAGAGTCACTCACAGACCAGCTAAACTCACTGCGGCACAGTTTACCTGCGGTTCTGGATGATCCACTGTCCCTGGGTACAGGCCTGGTTGTAGGTGGCTCTGCTCAGCTCGTAGCCCTCAAATTCCAAAGACAAGCCCATTCCTACCCTGGGCATCTGAAATCACATAGTGTAAACACATACAAACATACTTTTATCATTAACATGAGGGGCTGTAAATTATAACCATGTCTTAATGAATCAACCTTTCAGTCCATAAAGTGGAAGAAATGGACGAAGAGGTGTCTTACACTAAAACTCCAGGTACAGTTGGTGTCGGGTGGATAGTAGCTGGGGAAGAAAGGTGTCCTCAGTGACCCCTGGACCCCTGATACTGCCTTCAGCTCTATGGTGGAATTACAATCTGAGAAAGACAAAGACAGAAAGACAGAAGTATTACAATACAAATCCATTCTACTTTGTGGCATCAATTAAAGGTGGGGTATGCAATTCTAATCCAATATACTTCTTTTTGTGTTCAGTGAATGGGAAACAAAGTGGCTGGGATTAAGCCAGGATTAAAACACTATTCCAGCCATTCCAGCGATCATTTGTGTGTCAGGTTGAATTACTTTCCCACAGACATTCAACTTACTTACTAGTTTGCCAAGATATGTTGTTGGGATGTTAGCTATGATACCAGGAGAGTTGTGAGTATCACTGTCTGTGTGCCGGCTCTGGGACAGTCTTGTCCTCTCTGCATGTTAGCATTCACAGTAGCAACTGTAGCAACTAGGGATGTGAAGAGACACTTAACCCACGACAGGGATGTACTGGAACTGAAATTCAGCCGGGACTTTGAGAAAGGGAGGCATTTTTGCAGTTATTTTAATAAATTGTGTTTTACTTGTATACAGTCAATTTCATGAAGATAAAGACCTTCAACAAGCTTTTGTGACACCCGCCTTTTAAGTTTGTATAAGCAAAGCACCACTGCACTGAACAAGACCAGGTCAGGCAAGCCTGAGTCAGTCAGAATGCTAAAATAGTTCAATTTAATCAAAAACTACAATGCAGTCCCATAAAATAGAGCAGAGCCCTGCACAGGCCCCTGTACCTGTCACTGTTTCTGGTTCCATTGTCATTCTCCTCCTGCTGCTTCTCTTTCTCGTTCTTCTCCTACAGCTTCTCTTGTTCCTCCTTTTCTTCCTTCAACTGTTGTTTATAATATATATATATATATAAATATAATATAGCCTATATGCCGATACATAAATACATATATAAATAATCTCAGGTTATAGTAAATGCATTACTTCTCAGTGCCTGTGCAGGGTCCTGCCTCATCTGTGCCTGCCACAGCACCTTTCCACCAAGGAAAAGGTCGGTTAATTTGGCGCATTTAGCTGTCTCTTGTGCCAACATTTTTTTTCTTTCATATGCTTAATTTTTTCCACACCACACATTATTTTTCCTCTTTCTTTGTTTTCGACATATTTACCTTCTCAGTTGTGCCTGTCACACAACCCTGGGCTGAACTCAGCCCCAACAAAATGTGTTGAGATTGAACTCGTCCTAGATAGAAAGTAAACTCCTTTAATTGGCGCCGTTGAGCCAATCAGATTTCATCAAAAACGAGTTGGGTGAGGCCGCTCCTATCCCCCTCAATACTGAAAGAATTGGTGTGGCCCAGTCTAATAGACCAGACAGCTTTTACTGCAGCTGACCGGCCGGCTGGCGCGGTCGTGGATCATTTAAAGTTGAACACATTTAGTTTAGTTATAAACTCCTGGACTTTAATAGCCCCTTTGTTTCAGCAGATTTTCTGCTCATGGTAAAAACTTAGAATCTCAGAATCTCTCCCACGTGTCATCATTTAATCAGAACTCTACCTGCCCTTTACTCTGCTGTGCATTACGTTATTGATCTGCGGGTAGTTATACCCTTCAGTTTCGGACTGCATGCTGCATGTGAAACCAAAAGTAAATTTCAGCTGTTTATTGCTGCTGTTTGGCTGGTTGTCTCTTTGTTTGTTTTTGTTTTGTGTTTGTGTGTTTGTTGTTTATTTGTTTTTTTTGGTTTTCTCCGCCCCAAGCCCCCCTCCCCGTTCTCTTGCAGGCTTTGTTGCTTTCTGCAGTTAGTGTTTCCTTCTGCTATTTCCTGTTGTCCCCACACTCTATCCCCATTCTCTTGCAGGTGTTGCCCTCTCACTGTGCTGTCTGTTTATGTGGTGTTTCTGTTCCCCTTCCCCATGTCTGTCCCCTGTCTGGCCCGGTGACAAATAAATGTGAATAAATAACAATACAGACAAAGTAATAATCTCTTGTTAAAGTAAAATCTATCTGGCACAATATGGTATCCAGCTCCTCATACCTCCTACTACCAGGCTGCCTGGCAGGACAGGTAAAAAAAAAAGAAAGAAAAAGAAAGTAAATTTCAAATCCACACACTAACTACCAGTGCAGCTCACAGTCCCAAACAGAGAAGGCTGCGCTTCAGTTTTTAGATGTTAATTTTGCAAAACTCTACCAGCTATGTTACCATTTGTCACAGCTGTTTGGGCCATTGACTGTATGTAAAAAGGTCTGACTCACAAGGTGAGCAGGTTCAGATGATTACTATCACAGTGTCAATTAGCTGGCCCGAGTTGATTTGCTTCGTGAGAATCTTATCAGTTATACATTTGTATTTCACTGCGTGACAAAATTAATGTGTGGCTTGACAGGGACTGAAAAATGTCTCGCGAGACAGCTTTTTACCTGATGAGAATTCTCGTCACAATCTCACACACCCCTAGTAGCAACAGTTTGCAAATAGACAGCCCTCATCTTAGCTAACAAAAGTTACATTACTTGCTGGTATGTTGCATGGCTTATTGGATCGTTATAAAGCTCGATAGCTTTCCACCAGGCACAAGGTTGGGGATGCCTTACAAGGCTGTCAGTTTGGTAGAATATTTAACTAAGTATAGTTAAATATAGAGGTAGAATGAGAAGAATGTTATCGGTTGCTGTAGGTAAACACAACAAAGTTGGCCCCTCCTCCCAGACCCAACAAGTGAGAGAGAGAGAGAGAGAAAGTAGTGGCGGTCAAGTGAGCTAGATAGTAAACGACAAAAGAGAGTGACAAGAGAGATTGTTTCTCGATGATTACCTTCTAAAGATATAAGATTTTTGCGTGAATGCAGTCTGTCCTGTGGCCTCTCTGCATTGCCTGTGTGTGGTGCATAGACTGAATAAAACAAGTGGATATAGCTACCATGACGTCACTCTGTGATTGGTGATATTCGGACAAGAGGGTGAAGCTAGCTAGCTTGGCTAATAAGGTGCATCGGTCATTCATGTTGATGTGAAATTAATTGGGATGCTAATTTTGGCTAGCAAAAACCAGGCTTAAACAAAAAAACAGACAGCCCTCAAAACAACAAGTTCACAGCTAGTTAAATGCGGTGCCGTTAAATAAGTTATGCTGTTTACAGTGCGGTAGATACAATTCACCTCAATCCTGACTGACAGGTAGCTGTGGTAGCGACTTGTCAATCACAAGGTAGCCACGCCCTAAAGCATACCCTGCCTCTTAGTCTATTTTACTGTAAATGGGACCATAATTTACAAAATGAACATCATGCTATATTGAAGAATACTTTAAACTAGCCATTAAGAAAAGTGTTTACTGAGGTAACAGTAGCGCTCTGGCCATCTGGAGAAGCGGGACAAATCTCGGTAGGCCGGCCAACCTCGGTGCAGGTGGGCCGCCGTCCTTAGCCTAAACTTGTTTTCTAATAATAAAAAAGTTGGCAGAAGGTTGAGCGACACGGGCCAATCCCCCTTCTCCCCAGGCCTGTTGGTCTATTGCATATGAACGTCTACGCAGCCCTTAGCCCCGCCCCATCCATCTCACTCACACACCACAGTGACACTGACAGCTGGAAAACAAGCTACAATGGAAAATGGAAAAGCAGAGTTTAACTGAAATGTAAAAAAAGTAACCGACTCCTTCTGTAGTAGCACTAGTACCAGGGCCACAGACGCTAAGACCGGGAAGAGAAAGATGCCACAGCCCTGTTCAGGGGTGAAAGATTAGTCAGAGAGGACAACAAAGCCACAGATAGCGCAGCTGAACAGTACAGTGTTCCCATACATTGATTTATTTGTGGCGGCCCACTTCAATATCAACGCGGACCGCCACATATTTATTTTAGATTTTTTTACTAAGCCCATTAAAAATTGTATTTCTACATCGTATATATATTCGAGTAGCATCTCCTATCTCTCTCTCTCTCTCTCACTCTCTCTCTCTCTCTCTCTCATGAACACCACTGCACAAATCTCTTCAACACAACGCTGTCGATGTTGGACACCCACCACTTCAACACAAAGTAATGCCCTTGCTGCTGTCAGTCATTTAAACGTTTCCATGCTCGGAGTAATGTCACAGCAGCAGCAAAACAAAACAAAATTAATTAAAAACTTGACGGGCCAGAGAAAACTATGCAAAGGAAATAGAATTCAACTTATAGCGTCTGAAATGTTTAGATGCTCTGATGCATTGATCAGGAGGATGTTTGCTTTACTCCAAACAGTGTGTCTGTATGACTCTGGATGTGTGAGACCTTTTGGATGTGTAGAAGAACACAGCATATTATTTAATATTAGATCCTGATGATCCTGTTGGCTAGACGGAGGATTTAAATGTGAGGTTATGCTCTGTGTCTCGTTTCACCCTATTTCACCCACCCTGAAATTCGCTAAATGTAGGCTATTTATTGCCAGGGTTCGAGTTATAATCTGAGCTTCGTGAGGGTCTCTAATATACTAACATTACCAACAGAGAGAGATCTTGAGAGGGAAAGAGAGACAGAGAGAGATCAGTGCTTATTACCTGTTTCAACATTTATCTCTCTCACAAACACACGCAAACGCACAAACACACACACATCAGTCCACTACTTGCCCCAGAAGTCTGCGATATTGCAAAAAAGTTCTAGTTTCAATAACGTGAAAAATGCCATCAGAGATTATTGCTCAAGGACAGACACTTTATGGTAGGTATAATATAAAGTGTAATTATTTTACACACTGCTGGCCGCCAGCACACAGTAGCAAGCATATTATTATATGTAGCGCTGTACTAATTGGAGGATGCATCATAAAGCCAATAATAGTAAACAAATAAGCAGCACTCAATACAATCTAACTCTAGTTGAACATGTTCGCAGGTTGCGGCCTCAACCTGTTAGTTCAAAACTGTGCGCACCATTGTGGTTGATGGTGGAGAAGTGCAGCCATCCTGTTTTTTTAAGGTAGTACCCTACTGCCATAGTGATCAATGGCTGTGATGCTGCAAGGTGGTTGTATAAGAGGGTGTTCCTATTTGTACTGCGTGCATTAGCAGGGCGGCTGTGGTATAGTATATGGTGGACCGTTCTGGTGGGCCGGTCTGGATCAAAGTCCAGGACCATTTTTTACTCCCAGTCCGTCCCTGTGAGGTAATATAGCAAGTGAGAAGAAGAGTCATTTTGTCATAGACTACAATGCAATCGGACTTCTTTTTGCAATCTGTGGAGTCGCCCCCTGCTGGCCAGTACAAAGAATGCAGGTTTAAGGCACTTCCACATTGGCGTCACTTTTCAGAATTGGATGTTGCCGCTTGTGACCCTCGGTCTAACCATCAATGTTTAAAGAGGACTGGATACTGCATTAGGGGCGGGGGCAGGCCAAAAAGTTCAACTTCCGGGTTGAGAAGAATTATTAGTTTTACAGCTCTGCTGGATGTCAAAATACAGTAGAAAAAATACAGCAGAATTCATGGTGGTGGTCAACTCAGCAGGCAAGATTACTAACTCAAAAGATGGAAAGTTAGCTTGGCAAACTAATGTTGAGATTTTGGTAGCCTATTGCTTGGTACATTTCTGTACGAGTAAAAGATGGCTTGGGTTGTCTTACCCTGGTGGTCCCAGGCTTGTGCAGACAGAGAGAAGGGGTCCTTATAGTTGTACAAACCCTGTTTCCAAACCACCGTCATCCACTCGCCTGATGACAGGACACGCACCACACGCTCATGTCTGCTGCAGCCATATACTCTGGGAGGACAGAGGGAAAGAGGGACAGAGGATGACAGGGAAAGGTAGTTAGTGTAAAATAAGTGACGATTAAAGAGATAAATGAATACAAATAGTAAATATTAAATCCCTTACAAATGATGAAATGACTCACAGTGAAGAGAATATTTGCATTTCTTTAAAGGTGAATCGACCAGTATCTGATGGTCAGCAGAGGGCAAATGTTGGCCATAAATGCGACAGCAAACACATATACAGTGGGGGAAAAAAGTATGTAAACCTTTAGGAATTTCATGGTTTAAAATGTAGCTTTTTTTAGGTCATTAACTCACATAGCATTATGAGGTTTATTTTTGGTTATTGTCAATAAAGACATGAGGGATCAGAATTTATTTTGTGTTATTATTTTAGACACATTATATTTGTCAATACCCTTGACTTAGATGAAAATCAGATCACATTTCATGACAAATTTATGCAGAAAACCATGAAATTCAAAAAGGTTCACATAATTTTTCTTGCCACTGTATCTGTCTAACTCATAAAACTCACGAGGTGATGAGGTGAGTATCAGTCGGGGTGAGGGAGTTGTACACCACCAGCCTGTCTCGACACTCTGGCAGCAGCCACTCCATGTGGAGCTCCAGCTGGGAGCCGGGGGCGGCTTGGAGGTGCCACAGGCAGGAGGCGCACTGTGTGTCGGGGCCACGGAGAGCTACAGGACTACTGGACACCACCTTCTGGTAGCGGTAGCAGTCTTAGGGAAAAGATGCCGAAAAATGAGAGTTAGAGTTGAGCTAGTCTTATTTGGGATTTGTGTTGAAGTCAATTTTGCTGATTCATATTATAGTAGTTTATTGATTTATCTGTCAAAGCTGGTAGGACATGCATGCAGCATAATGTTGTTTTACCTTGATTTTATGTTTGGAGCAACAGAATTGAAAATACATCCAGTGTTACTAGTCCAATGTTTTCCTATAGTAAGCATCCAAATTGGGTTATGAAAGGCTAATGTTCATCCTAAATAATCAATCATGTCTTATGCATTTTCTCAGACAGTTAGGAAACATCTGCTTCCTAACTGTCTCAAATCACTATTTTAAAAGCATAGATGAATCTACTGTAAGACAGTAACTAATTAAAGTTTATTTGTATAGCACCTTTCACAGATAAAAATCACAAAGTTCTTCACAATAAAATGCAATACAATACAATTTTTATTAAATGTAAAAATAAATGGAATGAATAGATTAATCTATACTTTTCTTAAATATATAAATATGTCACGAAAATTGTTTTAAATGTCTTATGATGATGCTGTCTATTGTGAGTTTTAGTTTTATTTTGAGTCATTTTATGTTGGAGTTAGAGTTTCTCATCTCATAATGGAACAACCATAAATGTATGATATTACATGAAATAAACACAATCATTGCTGCTATTGCTTCCATGTGTTAAATGTTCAGGGAAGTATATTAGGCTGCATGCTAATTACAGTTCAATCAAAATGAATGAATTAATACAAAATAAGATATTATGAACAAGCAAACGAAAATTAAGTGTGATACCAAATGAGGCTTTCAAAAGCTCTATAACTTTGTTGTCGGTTTCTGTTTGGAGGAGAACAAAAAGACAGAAGAGAAATTAAAATAAAGAAATTCTTTCAAAGCCCTGTTTCTCACTTTTTCATATTTCATCACATTTTTAATTGCTGTGTTACACGCACACGCACGCACACACACACACACACACACACACACACACACGCATGCACGCACGCACAGTGCCACTGCTTCTCTCTTGGTCTCACCAGTGACAGACAGCGAGGGGAGGAGGAGGTATCCATCGATTCTGACAGTCTCCTCCTCCTCTGACCCTCTATACCACCTCAGGCCATTCTCCAAGCTCCCGGTGACCTTCTCCAGTGTGACCTTCCCAACATGGCTGCCTGGCACAGACATCACTATCCAGAAGTGAGCCACAACACTCCCCTCCCTGCAGAGACAAAGCAGAGTCCATAATTCACACAGCAGCTCAAATGATTACTATAATTTATCCCCCTGAAAAGCTATGTTTCAAAGCAGTGCTGTCTCTAGTTGTACATTTTAAGTGTGTTGTGCCTCAGACCATCATCACTAAAGGGTGTGGTCAGAAGTGCTCTCTGTTGCACCTGTAAACACACCCACAGTACTGACACAGCATGGAGAACACTTCTACATCACTGCAGCTTGGTGGGACATTTCACAAAAACTATATTATCCGCTGATGTTAGGTAGCTAAAATGCTATCTAGTGCTATCTAAGTGTCCGTGGTTGGTAAGCAGTAGGTCAGAATGTGGTTTGAAGCATTTTCAGAAGCCAACATCCATCCCTTACCAATTTTCTATGTTAAACCTTTTGTTGTGTTTGGAGAATGTTTCTTGCAGATTCTTAATCTTCCCACACGGTATTACCATTTGCATTAAGGATGTGTCTTGTTGGGGCGATTTGGTGCCACAAAAGTTAAATTAAATGGCTTTTCACCCAGTCATTCAAACTACCGAAGGTCTATGTGTTCCACGTATATGCCTAGTGTCTGTTTAAAGCACTACAAAGTTAAAATGGTTGCAGTCTAAGATTTTATTTGAAAAAAATCAAGCCTCCAAAGAATATACAAGATACCAATACACTTTATGGGCACACAACTCAATTTTCAAGTGCTCATCGCACCTATCAAGAAGCAAATCATTGATTATAGATCCTGATCAATTTAATTAATGAACTAAACAACATGTGGTAATACAGTGAGTTGTCTTATGTTCAAGCTGTTCTTCTTCTTGCCCTTCCCACTCTGGGCAAAACATCCACTGTAATCCAAGATATTAGCAGACTTGTATATTTACTGTGTACAAATGATATCTCTCCCATATTTCTATTATTCTCTCCAGTTATTATTGCTGTACTGTACATGAAAAAGGTTGATCCACTTACCCAAAGGCGAACACAGTGGTGCAGTTGAAATATCGAGAAAGACTTGAGCCCTTCACTATCTTCTCTACCTGAAAGACAATTTCTTTTGTTCACATGTGAGTATTCAACATTTAAGAATTATTGAACATAATCCAGCATGTTCGTTACTCCATCAGATTGCTAATTGCCTTATCTGATGTAGTGACCTCTTGAATAGTAGTTTAGTCTGTTGTAGTTTACTCTAGTCTAGACACACACATTTTTTTTCGTCCTACTTGTGTAGGCTACTATAATAATAATATTTATCCATGGGAAGTGATCTGATTTAATGTAGCTATATATTCCCATGGAGCGGTTTCTAACTAGAGTACTGCTGTTTTTGTATGATGTCGTTTAACTGTATTGCAAAAATTATTACATAAAAAATAAAAAACCATCAGCAGTCTCGCTCCCTTCGGTCGGGAACCAAGTTATTGTTATGTAATTCGTGGTCCCTGCTCACCATGTTCTGTACTCCCTTGGCCTCTTTCTTGAATGCAGGACTGCTGTGGGAGGACAGATCAGCAGAGAAGTTCCTGTTGAGGATGGACAGGTAAGCTGTGTACTGCTGCTGGACACGAGGTTCCAACACCCAAACCCTGTATTCTGTTACAGAGGAAGGTACAGTATGAAGATCAAGGCAGCATAAGAGTCTACAGCCAGAACAACAGCTCTGTGAGACTGTACTTAGGCACAGCAGCACTTTGAGCTAAATGCTAATGTCGAAATGACAACATACAATGACAATGCCAACGATGCTTAGCAGGTATAATATTTACCATGGTCCCCATCTTAGTTTAGCGTGTTAGCATGCTAACATCTGCAATTAGCAGTAACCACAAAGCTCAAGCTGATGGGAATGTCATTCGTTTGTAAGCTAGCCTATTTAGTCATAAATCAAAGTATTTGACAAATTAAAATTGTGACCAAATGATGACTTTGATAACCAAAGTTATTACATTTTATTCCAAGCGGGGACATTCATTTAGTCACGTTACCATGAACCAAATTGCATGGAAATCCATCTAATAGTATTTGAGTTGTTAAGAAATGTCGCTCAAAAACAAAAATGTCAAAGTCATGGTGGAAAAGTCATCTTCTAGAAAACATGTGTACAAAATTCCAAGTCAGGGGATCACAAAAGTTATTAGGGTTCATCCTCTGGGGTCCATGAATACAGTATATATGCCAGATTAAAGGAAATCCATCCAGTAGTTGAGAGGTTTCATTAAAAGCCAAAACTTAAACAACCTCATGGTGGCGCTAGAAGAAAAGTCTGGGGATCAACAAAGTCAGTGGGATTTAATTACGGCATAGCAATTAATTGATATTGAGATATTTCACTCTGGACCAAAGTGGAGGACAGACAGACCTACAGACCAACATTGCAATCTCGGCATGGAGTCATACCACTCGCATTATGAAAATTTATAAATAAATAAATAAATCCTTAGGAATTACCTAGGAAGTACCAGGCCAGTGTGGCTCCTGCAGCTATGAGGATGATGATAAGGAAGGCCAGGAGACACTTGCAGGACAGCGTCTTCCTGATGGGTGGAGCCACAGCTTGTGCACCAGCTCCTACCTTTGGAGAACAGACACAACTTTGACATTCTTACACGGGTTAAACGTAACGTATAATATCTTCTTTGTAAAATCCAGTCTGAAATGCCTTTTCATGCAGCATCTGAGTGAGGGCACATCAGGGCACTGAGATGGTTGCCCAGAATATAATTAGCTACAGGGTTGTTATGGTCTGTCAGATGGAGACGTTTCTCCAGCACAACAATCTCCTGACTTTGATCCTATCTGTTGCCTGCAAAGCAAGCAAGTTTGTGGAAGGATATTTTTTACTGTTACCCAGCGTCATCATGGATTAAAATAATGTGATTAAAATTTGGATATGCATATATTTATAGTGCATTTTGTTTTACCAGCCATATAAATTTACTTAAGAGTACTCCACCAATTTACCATTACACCCCTATAACATTTCTGGATTTAAAAATCAGTGCTGCAGAACCACATATCATCTTTCTTATCCATGTATTCTCATCTGGTCTAGTATTCTTCTTCCTTGTCAAAATCTGATGTCTACATTACCCACAATGCAACTCAATCGAGAGAGATGTGTAATGGAGGAGGTTCCATTAACTTAAATGGTTAATTGGCAGCTATGTGTGGGTGACTGACACAGAACAGGTTGTACACATTGATTTTGAGTCTTTATTGAGTTAGTTCAACAATTGGTAAATTTCTTTGGTTCCAGAGCGGGATGAAGAAGCAAAGGGCCATCCTGCCTGTGTAAAAAGAAACCTCAATCAGCAGTAGTCATGGTTCAAGGCATAGTATTTTGTGTTTTTTCTACTCAGTTTCAGCTACAGTTATCAAATTAACGGAAACAGCTAATTCAAACAATGACAGTAGCCTACTCACCTCTTCCTGTTGTCTATTCAGCAGGGAGTGGAGGCAAATGTTTAAAGCAGACCCAAGCACCTGTTTAAGAGCTCCAGGAGCAAACCATTTAGATGATGGGAGTAATAGAGACACAAACAATGCTGATTTATGTGATTATTATGAGTTATGTCTGCTATTTTCATATGGTGTTGGTTTTATGTATATATGTATTATTTCATATGATTGTGGTTCCACCTAAGTGGTCTTGTGCACCTAATTACATGCCGGGGAGTGGGACGGAGACAATAAATGCCATGATTGTACGGTGCAGTTTACCAAACACTATCTGTGGGGAAACTTACAGGACAAGGTTTTTACAGAGGTCTGGAAAGATCATTTCAGAATTTTTACATTTTTAAAGTTTTTGTTGCCAGGCCCAGCAAGTCAAGTGACATCACTTGAGGCAGTTTATCAGATTTTGCACGGTTACCTCTAGAGCCACAAAAGGCTTTAAACTGTGCGCAACAGCTTTTTTCACATGCAGCAGAACTCCCCAATGAAAACAGACTTTGATGTGTAAAACCAGTGGAGTTCCCCTATTCTGACATACTTAAAGGTAAGACATTCTTAAATAGACTAAACCAAGTGAGTCTTATCCACTGAGAAACACATGACAGGAGGAGCTTTTATGCACAGGCAAATATAAACTTTCACTTTCACCCATAGGCCTTGAGCTAAAGTATTTTAGATATATACAGTATCTTACATTTTAGTCCTGCATCTGTGTTAAAAAGCCATATATGAATGCAACTTCTTCATCTTGTGGAGATTTCAGTCACAGCCAAAGCTAATAATGTTCAAAAGCAAAAAGAGCATTCATTTGCCTCCATCTTGGCCTACATATCTAAAATTCTGTTAAACACTGGTTTACTCTAACAGCTCCAAAGGTTTGACATACATTAAACATACAAGAACAACATACTGAGTGATAATATCAGACTACATGTGGCTATTTTAATAGCATTAGCATTACTAGCATTAGCATTACTGACCTGAGAAGCAGCTGTGACCCCCTGGCCACATGAAATTGACTTTTTGGAGCCGTGCCCGAGTGCCATTGCATCACTCCACATCCTTTGTTCCTTGAGAAATCATCTCACTGTCCATGGGGGCACATCTGTGTCAGAATGTTCAGTTTAACAGCTTTTATTTAGCATCTCTGGTAATCACATAACCAGACATGTTGCTCCAGGAGACGGAGAACCACCACCTCTGTTTGTAAGTCCAAAGGTAAAAAAAAAAAAAAAAGAGTCAATCAATATTTCCCAAAACTCATTTGGATCTGTCCATAGCTTGAAGATGAGTGTAATTATGTCAATGCTTTGGATGACAGTGGAATAATACCAAAATACATGCACAAAGCCATAACTGATGACTTGATCATAACTAATCCTACCTGTTGTTGAGCACTTTCTCATCTAAAGGGAGCAGCAGTGAGTCAGGTGGGTACAGGTACGCTGATGTCACTGATTATTACCTAGCAACAATGATGCTCACAGTCAATTCCCCTGCAGACATAAATCTGATGGGAGTGAAGCAGGGTCAGGCTATTTAGATTCATTTCACTTTCCATGAAAACATGAATGCCCAAAGGGTTGTATAGTGAGTCTGCTGCAAAGAGAGAAAATCTGTGAGTGAGGCGGAGATTTGTGTATTAAAGGAGACTGTGAGTTCACCTTATGCACTAAAGATTTAATATTTTGACCTCAGATACTGATTTCTTATTTTCAAAACTGAAGCTTTGAGCAGGCAAACTTTTTCAAACTTTTTCTTTCCCTGTCTGTTAAATTCAACTTCACCTAATACCATTATCAGGCTGTCACATTAAACAAAGTTTGCTCTTCCAACGTTCTGAGAATATTCACTCCAGCACTTCAGAAATCCAAATATCTTTACTCGTGCCAAACAGTACTGACATTTCTCATTAATTATGTTAGGAATTTCACCATGTTTACTGCTTAAAAAACATCATTTATTTTATCTATTACATCATTGCATATGTGGTACATAGAAAACACCATTCTTGTAACATTGGTTCACACTTTTTGGTGATTTATACATTTATGAATAATAGCAAAACAACAAGAGATAACAATGAAAAAAAAACCCCACAAGATTAGATCAATCCTAACAAATGATTGATCTTCACATTCAGTAGTTTTTAATATAGCTGCCTTACAAATCGGATAAGATTCTGCTAGAGAACAATGTTTTGAGAGTAAGTCGCTTTTTATGTAAAATCCTCAGAGGTGATGTCCTAAAAGTATATGCTTTGCTTTGCATATACTTTTTGAGATAGGAAATACATTAAGCATGTTTTAGGCAGCCTCTGAAGACAAAAACATTTTAGTTGGAAAGCTGAAATTAAGCAAATCCATGATTGTTTACAAACACAACCTTCATTTTTTCAGTATAAAAATACATCAGAAATTAACCATGTTACTCTCTGTGGTGTAAGCTAATATAACAAATAACAACATATCGTACAATGTGAGAACAGACATTTACATTTACATCTTATAGTTCAGTATAACTTTCAGCATCAAATACCGTTTTCTTATTTCTGTAATCATTGGTGACACTGATCTCTAACCCCACTGGTGGAATGTGCACAGGAGTTTTTTAAGAGCATGGATGCACCTGGACCTGGACATTATGCCCTTGTGTATAAGCTGTCCCCCACTAAGGATTTACATAGTCGAATCAGAATCGTCAAGTCCTGCCTATAGTCGACTGAGTCATGTGTGTTTTTGTGCGCGGGATTACGAGCCGAAGCTAAACTGAGGCTTATTGTTGACCATTTTCTCTCTCTCTCCGCCATTCACCAGTTTTGCGCACATGCTGTGCTGCCGACAACTACATGCACGTCGCGGGTCTATTCAAAACAATAAAATATTCTTTGTGTGGTTCATCAATGGTGATAAATTATCCGAAACTCCCGCGCGAGGTGCGGACAATTCGGCACAACACCAGTGAAGCTGGGGCTCCATTTCTTCAGCAAATCCTCCACTGCCCCTACACACATACACGCTACGCCTACACATGTGCACTGACGACCCAGGGTTAAGGCCTTTTCAAGCGATTTACGCGCCTTGTAATTCATTTTCAATGAGAGGCGAGCTTGTAGGGAGGGAGGCGCGGGCATTGCGACAGGCGTAGCGACAAACGGGCGTGTTCCCATGAAACTGTCGCTGTTGTGCTCGTCTCACGCACACGCAAGCCCCTGCCAAAGTTGAATTGACTAGAAGGCGCAGCACAAAAAGAAGATGGATTAGAGATTGATCCTCTCCATCTGTGACTTCCCTGAAATATATTAACAGGACATTAACAGGAGGGAGTTTACATGACTAGATTTATCAGCTATACGAATATGAATAATATCGCCTATATAATATAATAGTTTTACTTTAAGCTAGGCTATGAAGGAATACAGTAGCACACAGAAGCCGTTGCCGTGGTTACTATGTATAGAGCACCTTCTGTTTACTCGCAGAGCGCTTGTCTCGGTGTCTGTTCACATGAGAAGCGCAGAGCGACCCCGCGGGGCCAGGTGGAGTGTCGCTTCCCCTGTGAAAAGACCTTTAGGGTTACAATTTTGGATTTTTTCACGCAGTTTAAAAACGTTTATTGAAAGTTTTATTCTTTTTACAGGTTTATTTACGGCATTAAATGTTGAAATTTATATCGTAATAGGCTGTATAATAACTTATTGGGAGAAAACTGGTAGTTCTATGTAAAATCAGACGTTGAGCACCCCCATATCGCCAAAATGGCATGATCCTTGTTTCACTGCGAAGCTTCAACTGTGAGACTGACAGTCGAATCAGGCTCCGCCCACCGAAGCATCAAATCTTTGACTATTCGGGGTCAGCCCTAGTGCATCCAAATGTTTGTCAAAAAATGTGCTTTTGAATAAATAAATAAAGTTAAATAAGGCAGTAGAAATTAGTTATTGTACTAAAATTGCTGATCATCAAGACATCCATCACACTGCATTACTGGCAACACTGCAATTTATACACCCTTTCAGCAAAACACAGGTAGACATTGTCTGTACTGGGTAAAATTTCCCAATGAGCACACCAAAATATGCATATTTGTTACAGAAGTCAGTCCTAAGTATAAAAAAAAAAACAAAAGCATTATTTGAATCATTATGATAAAAATGCATAAGACAATGTGAAAAATACATTAATTAAAATCAGCCCATCCTTGAGAGTTGAACCCTGGCCATATGTTATATACTACTGAGAACAATGCATGCATTAACGGACATTCTAGCTGCCAGGCTCTCATTAATCTCAGTCAGATATGGTAAGGATGCCTCCTGGACGCCACCCTAGGGAGGTGTTCCAGGCACGTCCAGCTGGGAGGAGGCCTCGGGGAAGACCCAGGACTAGGTGGAGAGATCTCCACATTGGCCTGGGAATGCCTCGGGATCCCCCAGTCAGAGCTGGTTAATGTGGCTGGGGAAAGAGAAGTTTGGGGTCCCCTGCTGGAGCTGCTGCCACCTCGACCCGACCCGGATAAGCGGATGAAGATGGATGGATGGATGGAGATATGTGCATATGTACCGAATCTGTAGGCAAGGGATAGGATTGTGGTACCGGAAACATTCTGGTTACTGTTTGTAATTCGAGTAGTATTGACCAAACATGGTTGAGCGGCCTTTGGTTGCATTCAAGTTAACAGTCCATGTGACGAGCAAAAAACACAGAACGCATTGGCTGAGATGGGGATCTCATGAATCCTGCACATGCTGTAATGTCCAGCACTTACTGTGAGATTTCTGTCTGTTTTCAGCTCTCTTCCTGTCTTACTGGCGTATATCCATCACCAGAGGGCTCCACTAACCTATTGGTTGATATAAGAGCAATCCTCTCTAGTATATGAGTTGGCAGAGGTCGCTGAGCTGGACTCAAACCTGGCCCAGAGAAGTTCAAAGGCAGTGGTGCGAAAGAGGTCAAGGAACATGGTAAGGCGCTAAAAGGAGGTGAAAGAGGGGAAAACCGGAGACCTGTAGATTTAGTGGACTTATCAAGGTCCTCCAGGCTCTCCTCCTGACTCATCTGCTCCTCTCCCCCACTGCTAATGCCTGAATCCAGGCTAGGGAGCTCAAGGCTGTCGTTCTGCAGATTCCGGACTGGCTCGTAATCAGAACAAACCTGAATGGATTTGCCAAATCCACTGCCTCCAAAAAACTTCTGAAACCCTCCTTCTCCATTCCCTTTCTGCCTCTCCTCCATGTCTTCAGGTCCCTCATCATGGCAATTAGTCATACTGATGCTATCTGCCTCCAGGCTCTCTTGACTGACCTCCTCGCCACTGCACATGCCTGAATCTAGACTCTGTAGCCTGACACGCTCAACCTGGAGCTTCTCAACCTTCTCATAGTCTGAAATTACCGGCATAGGCGCACTGTTGTTGCTGCCTTTGGAGAGCAACTGTAGGATCTCCACTTCTTTCCCTCTCACCTCATCCCTATCCTTCACTTCATTTTTACCTTCACCTTGACTACTAACAGGCCCATAAGGTGTATCGGAGGCACAGGGCTCCAGATTTCCCGCAGTGAGCGAGGAGACAGGAGGGAGGAGGACACAGCTGGGAGTAACTGGGGTTGGAGAAGTTGGAACTGGCGGACTCGTGGTTTCCTTTGCTTCTCATCTTCTCTAGTAGTGTCGCCTCTGGCCCACAGGGTGCAACAGCATCCACAGTGGAGGTTATCTCTACAGAAACAATTTCCACCGGTTTCAAGAAGGAATGCAAGGATTCGCCGGTGAAGTGGGGGCTCAACCAATTCTGGAGGAGGAAAGGTCAAAGGTCGATAAGCAAGAGGAGGAATTGGAAAGGTTAAAAAAAAACAGAAGACATAAAATCAGCACTAGACTATAAGGTCGACGAAAAAAACTGTCAGTATGTGAATTGTCTGTAAATAGGCAAATACACAGTGTTTAAAGTGTTTTTATCTAAATTTCCTGCTGCTACAATTAAACAGTTTGAACCTTTTTGGATCATAAAGGTCACATGTCTTTTGACTAATAAGAAATATTCTGCTCTTTGGTTTCACATCCTACGTGGGCTGTACATCCTGCTGTTTGTGTGATGTTGCTATCTTTAAAGCTGCACTAATCATTATTTTTATATTAATAGTGGGTCAAAGGACTATTTGTTATCACTGACAGGGTTTGGCTAAAAACCCAAGAAAATCATCTTCCAACTCTGGAGTTCTGTTCAGCTTTATGGACCTTTTAGTGTCTTTCAGCTAATTATTTTGGTTTTACTTGCTTGAAAATGTATGGTCTTATTTGCCCGTAAAAAAGGCTCTGACAAACCCACTGTATGATAACTGCCCAGCACCAAATGACAGACTGACAGTGCTGTTAGCTATACACTGGAGAAGAAAGTTGACAATCCAGCAGCTGAAGAGCCAAGTACTTTTCTGAGACAGTGGGAGACACCAAAACGGGCATGGTGATAGAGACAACCCATATAAATGCTTCTGATAGCCTCTGACTGCTAAATGTGTAAATGGGTAATTTTCTGCTAACACAACATGATACCATATATAAAAACATTAACTAATGCAGTTTTAATGAGATCTTACTATAACTGCTTTTATTACAAACAAATGTTTGGGAAAGTAAATATCCACTGTAAATCAAGTCTGTTTTTATTAAAATTAATTCTCACCAAACCCCGATTTCAATAAGTGATGAACACAAATAAGAAAGATTTCATAAACTCACCTGGAAATTTACATCCTGTAGGAATGACTTTGCTGGGTTCGGTAGGGGTGGGCCGCTGATTCTCTTTACTATGTAAATCCTAAAAGACAGAATGACATCATCTTAAAGCAGAACTGTCTGAAAGATGTCTTGGGAATACTTGGTGTTTGTGTTTGCTTACCAGGTAGTTTTGTCAGTCTTAGCGACAGTCAGAAGGACGGCAAATGCGAGCACAGCTGCAACAACGCCAAAAAAACTTCAGCACCATCTGAAAAACACAGGACAGAGCATGTCACTTTAGTTAAGAGGAACGCATACTGTATTTATCCCACTGTAAAGAACAAATCGGAGTTGTATGTCTGTGATGTTCATGCAATTTTCCTGATACACAATGACATTTTAAGCAGTTAGTTACCCAGATCTAGAGCGTGTAATGTGCTCTGGGAAAGCAGGTTATGATAAATGTGACAAGTATTACTTTTAAAAAGAGAAATGTTAGTGTATGTTTTAAGGGAATTAAAACCATATTAGACTTTTGTTGTACATCTATTTTAACTATATAAAGTACTCTAGAGCCACTGCAATACTCAATATTACAAACATAATAACTTGCACAAATTAAGATGTATTATTTATCCAAATGGTTTCCTTCCCAGGAATTCAAGGCAGAGCCATAAAACTAAATGCCAAAATATTACCTTCGAACTTGGCTTTAATGGGTGTGAGCTCCATAAGATGTTGTTTTCCACAGACTGTATTTGTTAAATTAAACTAATTAGCTTTGTTAATATTTGACACTTTACCTATTGTTGGTTTTGTTTTTCCTACGGTGGACTCCCAAGATGCAACGGGGCTCCAGTCACTCCAGGTTGACTTGGCCCAATTATCACTGCCTTGCACTCGAACACGTGCCTCGTACCTCTCCCCCATCAGCAAATCTGAGTCAGGGATCTGCGCCACTGTTAAGCTCCAGTTCCATTCTTTATTTACTGTCTTCACAGAGGGATCCTGACAAGGTAAAAACAAATGTTTGGATGCTTCATGGGCCGATTTTCAGGTCTGTTCATTGAAATACATGCACAGATATACTAACATGGACAAATAATATATACATACACTCCATGAGCAATCCTCTCGTTTCCACTGTAGTTGGGAGATGTAAAGTCTTATTCTTTCATGTTTGTTAACTTGTGGGAACCAAGAAATTGCAGTAGAGTTGACATCTGGTTTTGGCGGTGGATTCAGCTTAACTGCAGTATCACACACACACATATAGTTTGTTACAGGTCATCACGACTAGCTCCCAAGGTGAGTCACAAGGAGGCAATATATTATCGATTTTACTCACTGTGACAAGCTGGCTTGTAACATATCTCCAAACTTTGCTTCTCAGGTACACAGTTCAGATTAATGGACAACTCATCTTTAGTCTGAAACTGAGAAAAATTTAAAACAATATTTCTCTTAGAACACACTCATAAGACAACAATACACAACAAAATAAAAAAATTAGTGTTGGGGCTTTAATAAATATCTTGATGATTTTATTCTGTAGCAAAGGTGACGATCTCCTGGACAGTTGTTGCTCTGACCAAAAGCTCCAGGTAATATTTTTAAATGTAAATGCTGCATCAATTAAGAAAACTTGAATAAATTACAGTACTTAGATAAAAAAGTAGGTAATTTAACTGGAATTAGGATATTTAAGAGATACAAAGTTAAAATTATCAGTCTAAAAGCACCTTACTAATCAAGAGGTTAAAATTTGTTTGTTTAAGCCGTACAAAACATGAAAGTGTAAAAACATTTTACAGTTTTACAGAGAGTTATATGCAGGATTATTTGGCCGGACGCAGGAGGCTTCTCTCCACTGTTGGGTAAATAGTCCCCCATAACCCCGATAAAACCATTTTAGATTTTGTAGGGATTAAAGAGATAAGATATAACTAGTATGTTGGTGTGCTTTAGCTGAGCTAGTAGGCAGATTTTGCTACCTTTGGAATCAGAATCAGAATCAGAAGGAGCTTTATTGCCAAGTTGTGTTTTACACAATTTGCTTTGGTGATCAGGTGCAACACGTAGACAAACATACAGTTGACACAAACAGATAGATAGAACCAGGCCAATGTTTCCCTCTGTTTCCAGTATTTAAACTAAGTTTATCACAGTTTGCGCAAGCAGGGTAACCAGTAACAACACCCTTTTTAGTGTTTGGTATGCACAAGTCAACCAGCTCAAATAGCATCAGAGCAGTCATCTTCCTACTTGCAATAGAATGGCCTTCTCACCATGTCGTGTCTCTATTGTGTCAGGAACTACTGGATTCAGAGGAAGACACTCTTACTTAATGGACAAACCGAGAGCATAACATTCACATTTTTTGTCAATTTTTCTGCGAGATGCAGACACTGATTCAATGCTGTGCTGTAAACCATTCTAGTTCCAGACAAAATTTAATTTTAAGTCTAAACAATTGCCAAAGTCTTTATAATGAAGTCTTTAATGAAATGGCCACAACAAAACTATAAAAACAACTACGCTAAAAACAAAATGTGTTTTATTGCTCATTGTGTTTAATAAACAACACATTAATAATAAAGAGTAATGGAAACAGATCAGGTGAGCCATTCTCAGCAGGAAAGCAAATATATGGATATTTCCTAACGTGTTGAACTATTACTACCACAAATCTCCTCAGACTCACAATCCAGTCATCTATGAAGTCCAGGGAGCACTTCTTTAGCATTGGTCTGGAGATGTCAACAGGCTTCAGGTCACAGGAAGCACTGTACACAGATCTACTGTAAAAGGAAAAAGAATTTCATGTTCATTTCATTTTGCTGCACTCATAATATTATTTGGGTACAGGGTAACTGTATATTTGCATCTACTCTAAGTACATTACCCTGTGACTTTTTTGGCGTGTATTGTGCACTCAGTGTCAGATACATATGTGCTGTTCCACACACAAGTGATGGTACGATTAAAGTCACTGTAGCAGGTGAGATCTGTGAGAAATAATGGGCATGAGATGAAATAAAAACATGGAAACTTTTCTGTAACAAAAGATCTTTAAATCAATTATGCTAAACAATATAAAAATATAAATCAAATCAAAAATCACTAACTGTTATTTGGGAGGCTACAACAGTCCTGTGATCTGGTGGGGCAGACATGAAGCAGAGCAAGAAGAAGAAACAGCACAGGGGTTTTCTTATTTCTCTCCATTTATCGCGTTATCAGTCACATCTCAAAATAACAGGATTGTTGGTTTCCAAAGCTCGGTGACTTGGATATGTGGGCCTTTGATGGATTGTTCTTGTTTCACTGTGTAACCGATTGCTTCCTCTTTATTCTCATCCTGTGCAGATAAAAAGATACATCTGTTCACAAGTGGCAAAGGGATGATACATAGGCCTGCTGTATGTATATATACCTCTTTATTTTGTGGCATTTGTCAGTTTTTTTCTGCAGACACACATAAAATACTTCTGGCCACAAATAGAGCAAGAAAGAGTTGTGGCACCAACAGATAATTCAAAGAACAGAATTAGAAATGCTTCAGATCCTGCTTAAATTAGTCTGCTCTGTTTCCAAATGCACAGACTAATAAAACACATGTTTAGAATGAGCAATATCTGTCTATCAGGAAGAAACACTTTTTACAGAATTTATCTTCATTTCCCTTAAGTCACCTTTGAGACTGATAATTCCTGAGTGTCGGATTTGATATCAGTTGCATCATTTACATTTTCCCATTATGCCTAATCATTTCCAATGTTTAAAAGACACCACAATCATATGTTTGGTTATTTAATAATGAATTCATAATCAGAATATCAATAAATACAGATGCTAAACATTAATAAATATAATAATTTTAGTAAAATTAATAAATAGAATCACATTCTGCGAGTAGAAATGATTCCTGTACCCCTGAGTAGGACACAGTATATATACAGAATACAGATTGCTGTTCATGTGGAGGTGCCTGTTCAACAGGTAACAGCAAGAGAGAGAAAACGCTGCTGCTTTGGCAGCCTTTATTAGTATTAGCACAGTGCACATGTGTGCAGGCTCAAAGTCCACCAAATGTCTCTACAGCTGTTAGAGCCAACTGATTCAGCTGTGATCAGATAGAATAGCATATAATAGAAAACTTTATTGTCATTGTCACATGTACAACGAAATGTCAAAGTGCCGACCAGCCAGTGCATCATTCCTAAAATATAACTTAACATAGTAAATAAATAATATCTAAAAACAGCATGAACAGGCTTTCATATATACATACACAGTCACACTTATTGCACCAATCCCTCAATCAGTTCAGTTTAATTTAGCAGCGTTGATTGAGGCCTCGGGGCAGGAGTGCTGTGATGTGCCTCCGGATGAAACCAATGTCGCTTAACGTGATGCTTCAGAACAAAGGACGTCTCATTTTTCTACGAACATAGTTCTTCATTTCTTCTCTCCTGACATGGTTTCCTAGCATCTCTCTGTTCATTCCTGGTGGGAGCGACCAAGACGCAAGGAAGAGATGCAAGGGAGAGAAATGTGGATGCAAAAGTGTTTTGCTGCACTCGCTGGTTGAATGTATCATGCCTGTTTCACTCTGACCACACCCAACATCACAAATTGTTACGGTGAGAAATTAAACCACTGGAAGTCACTATACTCAATACTTCATCAAATTCTTGACCTGATGCAGCCTCTGACCAGCTAATCAAGGATATCAGTGGAAATATAACTTTGACTTTATTGGGTCATCCTTTATTTTAGTTTTTGTAGTTTGTGTTTTTACGTCTTCTCACAACGTCAAATAAAGTAAACCAAAATTGACTAAAACAAATTGATCTTTAGACATGGCATGTGAAAAAAAGAGGACCAACAATAGTGCCAGTTACAACAGTTTAAACATGAATAATTGTGCTGTTAATACACTACAGCCTGTTTATTAGATGTGGGTGTAGAACTATGGAAACCAGATGACTTGAGGTGAAAACAGTTTTGATAATGTGCCTTATAGACACCCAGTCATAATGCTAGTGTCATAAAAAATACCCCACATTTAAGCAGAGCAGCTGCCTGCCTGCTCAGGTATCACTTCCTCTCTTACCACCTGAGGACACGTTGCAGTAGGCCTATCTGATATGCCACCTTGCACATGTTATACATTAACAGGCTAAATCTTACAAACAAACATGAAATGTACTGAAAATATGAAGTGTCTTACCTGTTGATGCTGCTGCTCAGTATCTGCTTCAAAGCACTGGTTTCATTCCATTTGATGCCCTGTGAAAGGACATCAGACAAATAAGGTTGTTCATCTACTTAGAAATGGCAAACACGCCGCCTCTAAAAGAAAAAAATTAGAAGAAGTGTTTGAACTCTTTGAAGGTCAATACTGAGAAATTTGATAATGAATCAAGATGAGTGTTTTATGTCCTCTCGGTTTCAACTAACACTTCAGGGTGTGAAAAATGAAGTCATCTTCACCTCTATTTTGGTGAAATATGACACCTAGGTTTCCTCTTGTGTTTTCCTCTTGTTTACCGAATTTCAGTAGGAAAAAATTTTTAATCCACAACATGGTCCCACTTCAGTGTTGATTTAGCACTAGTACCAGTTAATTGTTTACCTTCCTCTGCCTTTCTGCAGCCTATAATTTCCTCAATATGTACATTACAACATTTAATATCTTAAATATTTTGTTTCTTCTCTTGTTCACATTTGCCCTTCATGGCAAAGATTCAATTGATACATATTGCAGAGTTGTTGCTTTTGCCTCTAAACCACACTGACATTTAAACTGTGTCAAAAACAGGATGAAAAGTAAATATGTGTGTGTGTTTCAGGTATGATTTGTGGTATGTGGTTATTACAGCCCACTGCAAACCGACCCACAAACACCCACAGCCCCTTTCACTCTGCACAATAACATACATAACATACACATAGCACAGTAACAGTAGTTTTGAAGGACCTTTGAAACCTTCTATTTCTCTAAAAGCCAACTTTTCTTTTTTGCAGTATGCACACAACATTTTTTTCTATTCTTATTCCATTTCCGTGCACAGGGGAAGGCACAAGTTCTCGCTGACAGCCCGGTCACCTGTTCATGCGGTTTATTAAAGGTCAGAGTGTTTTTTCCGAGAACCCAAATGTTCCGTTATTCTATCAGGTGCACTTCCTGCTAACGATACTTGCTTCTCTTAAAACAACGTTAATCAGATTGCAGGTCATGATGTCAATAATCATAATCAATGACTTATCGTCAAAATGAGGGCTGTGTCAAAGTGTACATTTCAAATTATATGCCATATGGGAAATACGCAAATGTGGCAGTAATCAACAAGTTTACATATGAATTAAAAAAAGAAGTTTTCACATTTTAAAAAGGTGAGAAGACGGAAGTTGAAATAAATCCTCTGAAAGTCACAGTCTAGAGATTTAGGCCACTCTGTTGTAGCTGTTGCTTATAAGGCTCATAAGATTTAAAGCCAGCAGTTCATAGTAATCCCAGCAAAATAATGGACGAGTTACACCTGTAAAGGTTGAGAAGACTGCTGAAACAAATTAGATTGCCCTAAAAGATGTCTGATGTTGTATTATCATGCTTATGCCATAACTAAGTGAGATCATGTTGGGGATATTCAAATCTGTTTGTTACTTTAACTGAAAGTTAGGTCAATTTCAGTTTTTATTAACTATTAACTGATGTACAGCTGTGGTTCATGTGTTTTAATTGATGTGTTTAATTGATGTGTGGTTCTTGTGTTTAAACTTGCCTGCAAATCAAGTACTTTTCACAGCAATGACATGATTTGGAATAATTGCCTGTTTAACTGTCTCTGTGTCTGTGACTTGTAAATAATGCCAACAACAGAAGATGATGATAATTCAAGATATAGTTTTTATATTAAAGGGACATTATGAAGTTTCCAGCGGCCACTAGCGGTGCGGTTTTAAGATTGCTACCAGGCGTGTGCTCATACGCGTGCTTGCTTGAACTCATGAGCGAGCATAATCCTAAACATAACCGCTTTCATACAGAAATCCTGCAATAAACGCAGGAACACCAGCATGTGGGCTGTGGCTTTTCACACAGACATGTTCAGGCTCTGTTATTTCAACATTCCCGTCTCAGAGGCAAATCGCTCTACATTTGCTTTTTACCGTTAACGTTACATCCTTTCTTGCAGGCTAAATCAACAGTGGTACACAGGATAGTAACATGGGTCACGTTAGTTCGTGAGAAACAATATAACTTTGCACTGGATAACATTAGCAACTGCTTGCCGTTAGCCGGTGAGCTAACGTGACTTTCTCTGTGTTCCTCCAGCTTTACTAATGATCACTTTGTTCTTACTCGACATCATTCTGAACATGTTTGGTCTGATGGGCTTCAGCACATAAAGCTTTATTGTGTTTTGCTGTGAGCCGGTTGATTTATGGTGTTAGTGGGCTGCATGTCGTTAGCTGTCAACACGACAGCTATCGACAGTGTAGTACGAGAGAAGCTCGGGAGCACGCACAGGGCTGAATCCGACCCGGAGTCCCCACATTAAAAACAGAATAGTGGCTGATGCAAGCGACGGAGAAAACAGGCGTGTGCTTCATTTCTAAGTGAGTTTTGAGCCCACTGACAATAAGGCAATGAAAATTTGATTGATTTCAATGAAAAACGTACATATAGTCCCTTTAAAACAATAAATCTCTGGATTTCAGAACCAAATGAATCGAAACATAGATCCCAGGTTATCCAGTCAATTATGTTCCTGATCAAACTTCTTTTAGGTAATTTGATCTAAAATGGATGATGTCATGTAACACACAGTAGTGAGACCAAAATATTGTCTACATTCACATCCACAATTGGAAACGTTGGGTTTCGAACGACAAACATGGCTTCATGATCAGGGACTGCTAGTGGAAAGCAGCATCTCATTAACAAATCAAGCAGTCTCAACTTGTCAGCCACAATCTGTTCGACTGTCTACTGTTAGAGTCCCTAAGTAACTAAAGGGGGGATAGAGTGGGAGATGGGGAATCAAAGGAGTAAAATAAGCACTATTATTGCTTTTATGTTTTATGTAAAGCACTTTGAAAGACCTTGTTGCTGAAATGTGCTATACAAATAAACTTGCCTTGCCTTATCTCTATCTAAGCTCTTTCACCGACATACTGACATAGTTTCATGTGTCTACTTCTGACACCTAGTCTTCCCCTAACTTGCTCCAATTGTGAAATGAAAAAGCTGACACTCTTCTAGGTAATATAGTATCTAAAATGGATGATTCTACACACACCACTGAGACCAAGTCATTCTTTTGTGACCAGTCTCAAGTGTCCACATTGGGTTTCAAACCACAAATCATAATATGTTTTTCAAAAGGGGAACTGCACCAAGTCAGTTTACTAGTGACAAGGAGTACTACTCAGTAGTTGTATAATGCCTTTCATGGGTCTGGAGGGAGCATTGTCAAATTACTCTAATGCCATTATTTGAGTGATCTTGGCAAACTATGTGCATGAGGTTTGACAGTGGCATTTACCAGGCAGTGTCTAACAGAACATTATGGGAAGTGTAGGGTCCAGTGTTTTTTTGCAGCTTGACCTGTATTGGGTACTAAAAGTCAGTACATCTTGAGCTCTCAGAAGAAGAAATAAAAGGCAAGTATATGCCTTTTTTCCACCTTCATCATCTGTGATCAGATTTCCACACAGTCATGAAAAGTATAACGTATGTCTGGGCTGCTGACAGAGATGACTGATGATGATGATGTCTGACTGATGACTGACAGTCATCACCAGTGCAGAGAGCTTCAGAGCAGCCAACAGACTGGAGTCACTGGGCGGGCGGGGATTGTCAAGCCCTATTTATAAACTCTTTATTCTGAATAGAACTGTGACAAGATACATTCAGTGTAAACAGATAACTTGGTAGTGTGCTTGCTCAGTCTTATATTCAGAATTATCTCCAGTGTAGCTGTTATAACCCCTTTTTCATTTTGTGAAATCAAACTTCATGTCAAGATTTGAAGTCATGCTGTACATTCCACCAATTTCCCCAACTGAAGGTCTACTTATGCAGCTTCTGACTCAGTTTGACTCAGTCAGGGACTGCTAGTGGGAAGCAGCATTTTGAATCACATTAACAAATCAAGCAGTCCTTCTGATCTCAATGTGTCCGCCACTATCTGCTAGATAGTCAAAGCCTTTTCTAACCTCTTTCATCGAGATGCGTTTCATCTGTCTGCTTCTTATATTTGGACTTCCCCTAACCTGATGCAACTGCGAAAAGATAAAGCTGACACTCTGGTCTCTTTCCTCCCTTCCTGTCTTTCCTCTTCACACACACAAGCAGAGAAACAACCACAAACTACACACGCACAGAAGAAAACACAAAAACCACTTCCTAACCGCCTTTTCTTTCCCGAAAGCTACTGTTGTTTCCAGTAAGAAAAAAAAAAAACAAATTCACTATCCAGCAAGTAAGCTCTTCCTTACTATGAACAAACAACCTATTTTGTTATTTAGTTTGGACTTTTACAGTAGTATTATATTTATGATACAAGGCAATGATGGAGCAATTAGCAAGACACAGCTAGATTTTCAGCCACTTACCCAAGCTAAGCTGAGATTGCATGCAGATACATATGACTACTTTCTGGCAGGTAAACAGTGCAGGGGAAGTATACTTGTTTCATATTCCCTCTATATAGAGCAAAGGTGAGACAGATTGCCAGTGGGTGGAATTGGTCCCATTTACCAGTCATTCAAACAGTTGTTTCTATGGTGCATGGCATTAGACACCACTGCAGCATTTCAACAGTGTTGGGCAAGTTACTTGGAAAATGTAGTGAGCTAAGCTACTAGCTACTCTTCATTAAATGAAGCTTCACTACACAGAAGCTATCCCCCAGTGAAATGTAGTAAGCTAAGCTACAGCAACGTGGCAAAAGTAGCTTATACATCGAAGATACTTTTTTATTTTTTAATATTTTATAGTTAGGTCATATGTATATATATATATATATATATATATATATATACACATATACACACACACACACAGGCCTTGTTTGTATTGAACTAACTTTATTCCACAGTAGCAACAGAAGAAAGACTAAAAACCTGCTCCAAACAGTGTGTGTGTGCGAGAGAGAGCTACATTAGACACACAGAAACTCTCCAAGAGGTGTTACAATAACTATCACAATAGAAAGTAAACTCAGTCGCACGTGTCTTTATTCTCCTGCAGCAAAGTCGCAGACATCAGCCCAAGGATC